ACCGACCCGACCAAACACAAAGTTGGTTTTTGGTTGAGTCGGTTACAGTTTCGAGTCGGGTCAGCACAACACTTTTGTCCAGAACCCTTACAAGAAGCAAACGTAACCAGCAAGGTTGCTGAATCTATGGCCACATGACATCACACAGCATATATAGAGATTGCCGCATTCCCCCAGAGATAGTAGAGGCTGCAGCCAATCATTGCATGTGGCACAAGCAAAGGCAGACTCCAATTGAATATTAGATTTAAAAAACTGGCAGGGTAATATTTATATTTTACTTTATTTCATTATCTAAGTTGGCGGCCAATTTAATGAAATCCATTGGTCTCCCATTGGTCACAGTACATCTAAAAAAGCAATCCACATACACGTAAAAGTCTCATCTGTTTTAGAGTATGGAAAAGAAGGCCAACTTAAAACTTGTTATTAGTAGGCTATTTACTTACTTTAAAAAAAAAAGCACCGATAAAAATAGATAATTTATTAATAGCATTTTAGAAGTGTCGACAATTAGTTGATTTTCAGTGAAAGTTAATATCCAGCTGTATTTCAATTAATTTTGGCACTTAAGAGTGTCGTTCGCAGTAGTCCTGGAAGAATTCCTACGGGGTAAACAAATTAGCCTAGGTCACAATTTTGCCCTTATGTACAAACTCACAATGATAATGTAAGCATGGATCCAGCCCATTCAAAATGGCAACAATGTTGTCACTATTGCAGTTTCAGTAGAGACATGACCATTTTGCCTACTGTTTATGGTTCATGTACGAGTCAGTTTTGCCATAGCCATGCACGAGAAATCAGAATGTAAATATCATTTTCTAAAAAACAACATTGTACTGCACATGTGCAGAGGTGATCCAATCAATGGCCATAAATGGGTATTAAAATGTAAACATGTCCGATATTATGGGAGCGAGAACCAGTCCATCGCGAGTGATCATGTGTGACGTGTGAATCCTGAGCTTAAATTCCAGAGTGATTCCTTGGCAAGCAGACAACAGAAGTTCTTAATGTGTCGGATCAGGGCGGTACACGGTTTGTTCAAATCTAGCAGTGCACATGGCATCACACAGTTTTGCACACATCCAGTTACCAAAAATACACCCAACACATGCCCATGTCTGTGTAATCCTGATCCTCCATGCACAAACGTGGGATGAAAGATTCACTTCCACAGTACGGCTCATCACACCACCATCTCACCAGAGCTCCAGAAAAAACGAGAAACCCTCTTGTCAGGAGAATGATACTGCAAACTTCCTGAAAAATCATAACAAAATGCTTTTTTTTTTCAGAAAACAGGATCACATGTACAATTGCTTTTATTAGGGGGTGGGCTGGGGGTGGGGCATGGGAGAAATGTTTCCATACATTCAAAGCTCTACATGTACCGCCAACACTAAAGCAGTGGTGCATGTCACATGTACATGATGTATCATGACACCATTTAACAATATTTATATTACTTTATCGGGGGGGGGGGGTGCACACTGCACAATAAGGCCTGTGCAAAGTCTAAAATGGCTGAACAATTTGGGAAGGTTGGTGATCTAGAAAAAAGAGATCCATTTGTATGGAACAGGATCACACAGAAACAAAACACCTCAATTTAGAATTGCCAATTGTTTCATGTCCCCATGAAGCTGAGGCACTAATGTGTTTACATGAAAATTGATTTGGCATTTGGCTAAGCATTACTGAATAAATATGCAAAGCCTGAAGTAAATTCAACGTCAGACATGCCAGAATAAGTTCTGCGAACATGAAAGGTGGCATGTACAATAAAAAAGATTAGTCCGACATAACTACTTTCATCCTGTTAATTACTGTCAGAATCAAATTGTTATGAAATGTTCATTTTTTGGGGGGGGGGGGCATTTTTTTTCTCTCTGTTTGTCATGACCTGTTCGTATTGTTTTTATTAATTTTATACTGAATCATGCAAATAGCTTTTTTTACCTTCCAATTCAGGCCTAGTTGATCATGTTGATGTAATTTATGTATGGAAATCTTTCCCATGTATAACAAAGTTGAAGCACAATACACGACATGTCATGTACATGTGCATCACGCCAATGGAGGATCTCCGTCCACACATGCACGAACCTAGGTACGGGTTAGATCCGCACGCGTTCCGTACAAATACATGAACACGCAAACGGTCGAGTTGTCTCTAAAGCATCATGCGCTCGGGCTATGCGTGATACACACGCGCGAACCATGTACGCTTTACAACCAACTCGATCGTTTGGCATTCCGCGCACAAACGAAAATATGTCACTTTTTGCACCTAAATATCAACAAATCTACCGCTGGCCCTACCTTCAAACCGGACACATATGCAGCACGTATCTCCAAAACAAAGTTGATGTGGGCCTTACATCGGGGAAAACCTCTTGTTTGGAGAAAAACACCTTTCAATGTGACAAATTTGTCACATGACCGCACACCGCGATAATCAGCTCGGTCGAACACCAGTTTTGACGGACGCCGTTTTCAGTAATTTAATATTCATGAGCTGATATTCATATATGGAAATTAGGGGAAAATAACAAACTTTTGAATAAGAAACATTTTGAACTTTGACCGATTAATCTACCAATGACGTTCCAAATATTCCCATACATAAATATTCATGATATGAAACTTGCTTGGCCCGACCCACGAAGCGTGTCGGTGACGTCATTTTACGGAGATTTTCGATTGGCGCGATTAGAACCACAGAGGGCGCCATTATTTTGCGCTGGAACAGCCGTGCTTACCTGCCATTGCTGACAGCATCAGAACAAAAGCTGCTGCTCCGTCCATTGTCCAAGATGCGGATGAATTCTGAGCACAATCCACTACGCTGTGGGATTTTTATGAACGACTCACACAACCACGCGAATTAATAGGCAACTACGCACGTAAAACTCAAAACAACAAACGCGAGAGAGCCTCAACTTAAAACCTTACTTGAAACTTGTTCTGATTAGTGTAATGAGCGACTCACACAACACGCAAACGCAAGCTAATAGGCAGCTATCTACGCATGTAGAGTACCGAATGACGATCAGGAAAGAGCCTGGCCACCAAGACTAAACCTGATTGACGCAATGATCCAGACTCCGTTAGTGTTGATAGTATATCACCGAGTACAAAACGCCACTCGCTCGCCTCAGCACCTAAGCAGCCGCAGAAAACTAACAGGCTGACGTCATACCAAGCCTAGCCAATCATGAAACGAGCCTGAACTTGCCATGAAGGCTTCAACTTGTATAATTTGTTCAATCTTACAGTATGGGTGGAGCTAACGCTGGAAGTGGGAAACACGTTGTAATTACAGTTTCCAGTTTTAACAAAATAGCGTCTTGAAATTAACAAAATATCGTCCTGAAATTGAACAATGACGACCATCGCGGTCATAAACAGTCACGAATCGATATGGAACGCTGCAGCACCGCGTACGAGCGGAAGCGGCTTCCGGTAACAAACACAGAATCCTCAGCAGCAATCAAGGTTGGTCTAGATAATTACACAACCGCGTAAACAATGAACCTTTAGAAAACGATGCGCATCGAGAGGGCCGTAATATTACAGATATTGCAATTAATATAGTTTGCCTCTGATTGTCAAGGCAGTATTGACAGAAGCCGAACGAGTCAGAAGGCATTGGAATACGAAATGTTGGCGGTGAAGCCTCTAGAGCCATTTTCCCATAGACTTTGTGCATAAATATACCCTAAGCTGCCGGCACATACAGCACAGGGACGTAATCGTACATGTACAATGATAACGAAATTGGACATATTATATGAGAACTCAAAATTGTGGCAAAATTGCGAAAATAATTTTCTAACCAGAATTTGAGTCAGTTTGTTTTCTTGCAAATGAATAATTTAAGAGCCTTTTGTGCTTAAAATAAATTGATAACAGTTCATATCATAATATTGTAGGGTGTACTGTTGTCGGGGTTCAATTTTATTTAATAAAAGGACAGACAAAATAACTCGGAGGCAATCACATAACATTCCAATGTCTAAATGGCTTGTAATCACTTCCTCAGAACAATTAATCGGTGTAATAATTTGAGATTTACCTCAGTAATCTTGAACAACACTCGAATATGGAGCCTCGAGTTTCACGGAGCCAGCCGGCCGGCCGTGAACGATCCACAACACTCCATATCTGCACGGCATGCGACTGCCTGCGCACGCGCGTGACAGCGATGCCTGCTTGCGCGTGCATGCTGACCTCACGTTGACCCATATGCGCTGACCCCAGTCTCCACTGTAAACAGCGCCACCAGTAATTAACCTAAAACTCTACGATATAATGATTTGATGCTTTATGGGCTCCGTGCATGAACCGAGAGGGCGCTTTTTGCAACACTTTCGAGAGCCCCTTGAACCTTAACAGTCACTGTGTTGTAGTAAACATTTGATTATTTAAAAATATAACAATCACTGTGTTGCAGTAAATAAATTAAACTATAATTTCAAAAAGTTTAAAATGTCAAATTTGAAAACGAATACAGCTAGGGCCAAGTTCGGGCAAGGACCATTAGTCGACTAGTGGTTAATTTGTGACGTACCTTACGCCTGCGCACTGATAGCGACGTGCGAACGTCTCTAGTCAAACGCTGGTTAAAATGTCATCGCAAAACTCTTGGATCCTGGCTCCCTGCTAGCGTTATGATAGCGCGCGGCTATTGGTTACCAGCGAAGCAACCAACCCCAGTAGGCTGGTTCCAAATAGTCGACTAGTGTAGTCAACCATCGTCGACTAGACAGAGTTCGGGCAAACGTTAGTTAACCATTGGTCAACTATAGTCCTTGCGCGAACTTGGCCATGTTATAATCAGCTTGACAAAAGCTCTATTTGTAAATTGGAGTCAGTTAATGTTTATAATTATGTTTGGTTTTTAAATATAAAAACATTTTTGTTTCAATTTTCAATTGAAACGAATTCTTGCACAAAGAGCTACCAACTGCAATATCGAATAGTGATCGGGGCGACTCATTTCATTCCAAAAAAATAAACGGGAAGCATTATGGGTACCTTTACCGCCATGATTCATAAATATGCATTCTGCGCGCGCAACGCGAGTCACCGGTGCTAACCTCGGCTCATGGTAAAAGCTGCATACTAGACAGCCCCTGGATAGGTTCATAGGTATGATAGGGATCTCTACATGTCATCAGTCGATTGATATTTCGTTGTTGGTCGGCTCTGCAATGGCCAACATTTCTGTCGTCATTTCTTTCCCCTCAGCCTCCTTCTCAAGCTTCTTCTCGCCTGGTGTCTGCTCTCGCTTCAATCGCAGCTCCAGCAAACAGAACATTCCCAGGGCGAACACGAGGATGCACATGACGATTGAGATCACGTGGTAGGCACACATGGATTGTGGGATACCAAGGGCCAATATGGCGGCGGAGCCCAGGGACTGCCAGAAGCACAGATTGCCGAACGCTGCCTCTTGTTGACATACAAACAGCATTCCCAAAAGAGCTATATACAAAAATGACAATAAAGATCAAAGACGTACAGTCGTTTCGACTCAAAATGTGAACCTTAATTTGTAAGGTTACAGAAACTGTAAGTCAAGGAGATTAAACAAGTACTCACAATTCATCACAGGTCAACAAATCACAAGTCAAATCATGGGTCCCGTTTTTCACAAGTCATTCAGTCCCAAGCCAAGGGACGATTAAGCAATCCCGAATCGGTGACACATTCCTTCATATATCAGCGTTCATTCACTGTCACCTTTCTGTGATCGACATGTGATTTGGCTTTTGCTGTGATTCTTTTGATGTCACTTGTGATTTGATTGATTTGTGATGTGAATTGTGAATGACGTGTTGTGACTTGTGATTGACTTGTGGTTAACTGTATTTGACTTGTGATCGACTTGTGATGTGACTTGTGAATGACTCGTAATTTGATTTGCGATGGCTTACTTGAGCTTATCGTAGCAATGCTTGCTCTCGCAAAGCCAACCGCCACAGCCATCAGAACGAGATGCCACAATCTGCCCTGAACAGGGTCCCAGACCAACATGAAAACTAGTACCAGCAGGTAAGTAGCGCCCCCAACAATGAAGAGTGCAAACCTGCTGACGCACTTCATCAGCCGACCAATCAGGAAGGATGAGATGCAGCTGGAGACGGAACTGCCCCTCATGACGTAGCCGACAACCTCGATCCCTCGTGTGCAACCAACGAAAAACTATGTGACCAAAGTTAGTGGAAACGAGCAGATAATTTCATACCACTGCAATAACGGAATCAATACACTATTTGATTAACAAAATGCCTATCTACAGGGTCTATATACATGCTGAGGTTCAAGTCACCATACGTCTAACTTAACTGTTGCAGTGGTTTAGTTTTAATTTGGTTGGCAAATTGCACAACATGTAAAACCGATAAATCCAAGCCTGTTTCGGTGAATCTTTCGGTTGTGCGCAGGCGTGATCATTCGGCATGTTAGTCTGGTTCCCAGACCAAACGATTCTGACTATTTCTGATGAATCTTAGGTCAGGAAGCTCCCGGTAATACATTGTACATGTATTACAATTTACGTCACGTGACTAAAACGGGAGGAATTCCTCCTTTTTACGAAAATGTCCGAAGTTTGCCGAATTTTGTGGACAATCGGATAGCGCCCGAGTATTTCCGAGTACAATATTGTTTTAATGAACTGTTTATTGCTTATTAAAAACTTTTTTTAATGAGTTGATAATTAATATTCATTGCTTTTATTTAGAAAACTTAAAATTCAACGACGATTTTGTGCATCGATCGGATCGTATGCGCGAACTTTTTGCTTCGTCATGTACTATTTTAAATTTGACGACCGTTACTGAGATTTTCCAAAACTCAGTCTTCATTCGGTTCCGCCTGCTAACAGTGCTATTTGGGTGCCTAATTTTCAAGATCCCAGGTCAACATCAGTCAATGTTTTCTTACAGAAATATCAAACTATATTATCATAACTGTTTGATATATGAAGCAAGTGATTTATTTTAAAATTTTGATAGGAACATTAAAAGCTTTAAGTGATAAAGCAAATTCGGAAACGAAGCCGAGCTTTGAAAACAAGGCCGTCAATGTCGTCATGCCGGTTTATTTTTAGCCACGGAGGCTGCCTGACCTACAATTTAGACGTGTGGACGTCGGGGGAAATTGTCAGGTCGGGGAACCAATCTATCGGCATATCTGCTACCACCAAGAGTTCAAACCCACCTTTGTAAAATGGCCGCCCATAAACATCACATCCACTCCCAAGTACAACAGCGTTGGTATGAGCATTGCCATGCGCGGGTTAGTCATCAGGCGGAAGGTGGCGGCAAGCTTTGACTTGAGTAGGATTGAAGCTGAGTGATTTTACGTTTTTATTTCGGTCCTCAAAGTTTTCACGGGCGCCGCCATCTTGGATTGAGTGCGCCCTCGCATGTTACTTATTTATTTATTTATTTTAAAATGAGGTTTCGGTCTCGGTCTCGGTCTCGGACTATGAGGTTTCGGTCTCGGTCTCGGTCTCGAATGGGGAATTAGTCTCGGTCTTGGTCTCGGTCTCGGACTATGAGGTTTCGGTCTCGGTCTCGGTCTCGAATGGGGAATTAGTCTCGGTCTTTGTCTCGGTCTCGGACTCTGAGGTTTTGACTCCAACACTGTCGAGAGGGCCGTAATATTAAAGATATTACAATTAAGATATGTGTATTGTGCCTACAAAGTTCAAGGCAGTGTTGATAGGATACGCCCTACGAGTCAGAAGGGATTAAAATATGAAAAATTAAATCAAACCTCTTCGTGACGTGACAATGGAAGGGAAGCCTAAAGAGTCATTTGCCCATAGAATACATGCATAAATACATCCTAGCCGGTACAGATACAACTTAACGGAGCGTCGCGATCCGATGTGTACACTTGGCTCGGTGATTATGATACTGAAACTGCGATCTTTAAGCTCCTTGTCTCAGGGCCTTATTGCCTTTAAATTATATACAAACAGCTAGTAAACAGAGCAAAACAACAAAAGTATTGTATAGGATGGGGCGTTGGGTTCTATAGGAATGGGTCAGTGTTGCTAGGCGCTCTCTGGTCGTAAAATAAAGTTGGTACAGACGATAACGGTACCTTTATTACGAGACTTTGCTAAACACGCGGATAGAAGTACAAAGTGGGATTTTCTTCTCTCCATTTCTGATGTATTTAATCATTACAATCAAATATGGACAGGCAGCAAGTCGTTTTGTACACGTCATTTTTAATACGCAAAGCACATCAACTGATCAACTAAAAAATTAAACGAGTGAATGTTTCTATGGTTTTTTTTTATTTCACAAGCATGTTCATATTCACAAAGCGTATACAATCATTTGAATTATAATTGAACAATATTGGTAAGTATGTGCTTCAATGAGATAAAGATTGCTTCCTCTTAGCTTCTTGTTATGGCAGCTCGGCATCAAATGAACATAACACTTTATGTGTCAATACTCATGCAGTTTTCTTCTTAATACAAATTGACCCTTAGTTTGAAATTAGGGTATTTTGATGACCCATACATCCTAGTAATCACGTGTCAAAATGATATAACTGAAAAATATATTGTCTAAAACTATATCAATTAACTTTGTTACACATAAATCTATACACGTATTTCTATTTAATTATTTTCCATATCGAACACCACAATTACAAATGCCAATAAAAGTGTTACATTACGGCAGCAATACACTACACACCTGATACTATTCACCTAAATTATTATATGACTATCTGATATCGTGAGTTCAATTTCTTATATTGACAGCAAAAATACATCGGTTCATGACATGCTTAAACATAATTAAGCACAGACTACATTTAACACCAGTTAATACTTCTTTTCTTCTTTTTTTTTTTTCATTGTTATATTTATATTTACATTGAATACTATTTTATTTTTGTGTAGACATTTCCAGCATGGGTTGGCAAGCCTTAGGGCTACAGTGTTTTAGTACACTTTTGTTTACCCTGGCCGGTTTGGAATGTTATATTGTTTTTGTTTTCTGTCCCTCTATCTCCTCTCCCCTGCCAAACTGTCCACCCTCCCTTCCCTCCCCCTCCCACGACCCATTCCTACTCGCATTCTTCAGTCTTGTCTGGTCTTACTTTTCAATTTCCACTTTTTGTTTACTGTTTACTTTTTATTTGCTTTGTCAATGTACCTTTGTTCATTTGTTGGCCGAATAAATAATAATAATAATAATACTCGGAACGAAAGCGAACGCGACCTTGTGACATCATGCCAAGTTTTCCTGCCGGGAATTCGCAAAAGTTGAACACATTTCAACACCAAGGCAATTCGTAGCGAATGCTTTCCTTACGTCAAATGCACTTCGCAGTTGCATACGTGTAAATTATGAACCGGACTTTAAACTCAAAGTTTGATCACTAAAAAGATTTGAATTCTCGAGATGGTTTGCCACTAGCCATTTCGATTTTCTTATTTTGTGTGTGAAATATCACGTTTTAACAATTCATAAACAGCGTAAACTTAATATATACAATAAAAAACAACTATGCAACAAAAGCACTGCAAAAATTTAGACGTTTCTGTTTAGAGCGGAAATACTTTTAAAAATATATATATATATACTTTACTTTTACTATTCATTAGGTGATTTTTTTCTTTTTTTGACTTTTTTTAAATTTCAGATAATCTTGTTTATATTGCAATCCACGTAGGAAACTTGGCGATAATAGGTTCTTTAATTTTAATATAAACTGTGAACATTACCCTAATGTATAGGTTTTCCCGGCTATTTTAAAAATCTTGCATTCAAATTCACCAACTCTAACATTCAATTTCGTCCGGGCAAAATTTCACACCCGTTATCAAATTCAATTTAGTCATTTACCATTCAATTTCTAAGTTTGGTCACCCTCTTTAGTCACCTGCTCGAGAATATTCGCCATCACTAAGCTGTTGTTGAATGGCAGCATTTAGAGATCAAATTCGTCTTATATAAATCGATCACACGATTTGAAATTCTGAATAACGTCTTCGGCGTAGATGAGACAAAATTGAATAACCCGAGAAGAAAGTGTGTGCTTATTGTTTCAATTTGCTTGAACTGAATTTGAAATTGTCTGACAAAAGACAAAATTGAACATAAAATAAAACGAAATTAAACTTAATCGATGTTGATTAACCAATTTGAATATTACAAACAGTAAATTCGAATGACAAACGTTTTAAAATAGCCGGTAAAACCTATATTTTTTTCCGGGAGATACTTCTTAAGCTAAAGAAAAAACAACTCATAAGAGTCTGTAGTGGTTATTCTAAATCTTCAGTGTATCCTTACTTTGTGTAACTATTCTTCCTACAAAGCATTGTATTTATTATCAACCTTAATATTATCTACCGTCGCATTTACTTTTATATAGAGTGAAATTTTGTCAGCGCTATCGGAGAGAATCACCTGAATGCTTCAGCTAAATTAACCACGGCGACATCCAAGCAGCTCCAATCGCAGAGCAATACCATTCTGCCATTCAGTAGGCTCAATGCGGACTACCGTGGCCTCCACACTCTCATCAAACAGGTTAGTGACCGGGGTGTAGGGATTATAGTTACCGATGAACACCTGAAATGAATCCCAATGCAATCAACGAAGATTTGTATAAAAATAGCCTACTTGTAGTGAAGTCTAGGACCAAAACTACAAAAAAGTGGGCATTCTTAGCTGACGGGGTCTTCCTTCGAAACAGAATTTAAACAAACCGTAATAACTACATAAAGTAAACTGCTTGTCTTTGGTGGGCACTCACTTTTCTGATCATTCTCAGCCATGTTATAGACATAATGACTTATTATAGACATTATAGACATAAGTTTCTGATTCAGCTTCAGAGCGTTTTGCTATTTTGGGACCAAAATCTGGACTAAATTGGTTTTGTATAAGCGTGTACAATTTCTCGTGGACGAAATTGAATGATAGAGTTGGTGAATTTGAATGAAAAATCTTTTAAAATAGCTGAGAAAACTAATCAAAAGCAGGACATGTTTTTTTGTTCACACGTGGTATAATCAGACGCGATTTCAGAATGGCTAAATGGTTGCATGAGCATGAAACCGTACAAAGTCGTAAACAATGAAGTTATCATATTGCGATAAAAGCCCAAACAAAATATGAGAAAAAAACCCTTTACACTTTCTTTTCAAAACTGTTTTACGAACGAAAGTTAAATGTAGCTTACAGCAAGACTTAGTAAAGATTGATTTTTACCATGATGTCTCCGTTTCCATTTGTCACGTGTCTGCGTTGGGATAAGGGCTGCTGCTGATACGCCACGTTGTACCGCTTCACGTACCAACTGCCGCCGGGGGTGCCTTGTGTGGTGACCCCAGTCACCACTGTACTCTGGACGAGGTCCACCTCGATCCAGGGATTGGCGTCGCCACTGTACACAGAGTGAAGAGAGGATGAGGAACAATGAAATAACGATACTCCACAAATCTGCTTGTGGAATGGATTTGAAAATCAAATATTATTATTAAAACTCGTTACAGTGTGCAATTCAAATGCGCATGAGTCCGGGTTGGGCTTTGGCCGGGGGTGATAACTTTTTTATATAATGGAAAGGAGAACCATTGCAAAAAAAAGAAGACAATGCCAAACAAAATAAAACAAAACGTACAGAAACAAAACCCCACTGAGGCAATTAGATGTTCATTAATTAAACACATTCAGGAGGGTTTTGTGGCATTGTAATGATACAGAGTGAATATGAGAGTGAAGTGTCAGGTGTGGTATTTCCCTTTGATATCTACCTCGAGGCTGCCCATCCGTTGTCATTGTTGAGGCGTGCCTCCCGGGCTGGATATGTATTGCTCAGAATACTGGACGCCGTGATGCGATCATCTCGGATTGTCCCGTCCTCCATACCAAGGGGTTGCGGACTAGAACACTCTGCTGGCAACAAATGAGTAAGCAAATGAAATATTTTATATTCATAGTTTAAAAAAAACCAGTGATATTGAGAGAATGATAATTTGATCATTACTGCAAATTTTACCTTACAAACATTAGATTGATAGTAGGGCCTCGTTATTGCAAATAAGAAAAAGCCCCCCCCCCCCCTCGAATTTGGCGGTCAGAAACATTTTGAATTTGGGAGAAAATACTAATGAGCATGACAATACACCAATGGTTTTTCCGTTGTTTATCTTTGTTGGGTTTACTCTGGGGGGGGGTGCACAAAAACACTTGAAGGGATTTTCTTTCAATTGGGAGAAGTTGGGTAAGCAGCTTTCGATGAAACTTGATTAACGGATAAAAAAAAAAAAAATGTTCAAACTCAATGCAATAACCTTGTAATAGAACAGATCCATATGCTTATTAGTCAAACCTACGCTTTGGGATATCTTAACCCTGCGCAGAGTGACCTCCGTACCTTGGGTACGCAGGTGACCGAATTTTTGGGGGAAAAAATGAGGGCCAATGACGGTCACCTTCCATCTAACCCTCATTCAACCCATGCCAAATCACCTGGTTCAATGAACTTTGCAGCCTGGGCTTCACCCAAGCCGTGTCAACAAACTTTCGACCAGGCCTCCTGCCAAGTCTCATTGAAACATATACAAACACCTGTAACTTGACACAGCTATCTCCCTTCATAGCCGCAAACCACAGCCGCCAGTCAATTATCTTTTAAGTGCACTGTCTGGCAACTGCCTGGACACCGTCTGGCACATGGCTTTTTGTTGTTTTGACATGAATAGGGTCTTGCGTAGTGCGGGAAAGTACCTGTGGCCCAAAGGGCCACCGTTGGCGAGTTCTGATAAACATTTTTTGTAAACGCTGCGCAGGGTAAAGACGACGACTTAAAGTTAGGTTTGTTTCCACGAGTCAGATAAGGTGGGTTTCTTCGTACCAGCCGAAGTAGGTTTCTCCGTACCAGCTGGGGTAGGTTTCTCCGTACCAGCTGAGGTAGATTTCTCCGTATCGGCTGGGGTAGGTTTCTCCGTATCGGCTGGGGTAGGTTTCTCCGTACCAGCTGAGGTAGATTTCTCCGTATCGGCTGGGGTAGGTTTCTCCGTACCAGCTGGGGTAGGTTTCCCCGTACCAGCTGGGGTAGGTTTCTCCATACCAGTTGGGGTAGGTTTCTCCGTACCAGCTGAGGTAGGTTTCTCCGTACCAGCTGAAGTAGATTTCTCCGTATCGGCTGGGGTAGGTTTCCCCGTACCAGCTGGGGTAGGTTTTAGATTGATTGTAGGGCCTCGTTATTGCAAATATAAAAAAGCCTCCCCCTCCCTCAGATTCGGCAGTGAGAAACATTTTGAATTTGGAAGAAAATTCAATGTGCATGACCATGCAACAAAGGATTTTTCAATCTTTTCTTTTTTTTTGAATTTACTCTGGAAGTTGCTAGACTTGATGACAAGTCGTTAGAAACCCGTATTTTGTCCTTGAACTTCAGTCGAGCTCCATCGGTGCGGCTGGTATACGACTAGTACCTAATCGGCGGGGTTGCGACAAATCTAACGACTTGACGATTATGTTCTAGCAATGTTATTCATATATGCAAGCAGTACAATACATATGCAGTGCATTTTTCCGGTGAGATCCAATCGCGCACCGCTATGCAAATGAGGCCTCATTGATTCATTCCGTTACATGTGGAGTTCATCTCAATACGTCAGGGACATGTTTGCAGTTCTGGCGACGTTTTAACGACCAGTACACTCAGCTTGCTCAATTGTGTATAGAAAAGAAATGTATCATTGTGATATACTTGATTTATTTGAGTCGTGTATGCCCTTTAATGAGTTTTGTGATGTTACACAACACAAAGTACAAACCCTCGAAGTAATGAGAATGATCTTCCGTGCCGGCCTAGAATACACTCTGGAATCTGAACCAATCAGTCTAGTGCTCCCATAGAATTCGCAAAATTATCAAAATCAAAATACTCCAATATGTTGTGTACAAAATTGAAAACGTTTTCTCCAAGTCCGTAATTTATCAAAAATAGTCAGCATCATTTGGACTGGGAACCAAACTGCGCGCATTGCAGCGATATTTTGCGTGCGTGGAGCCAGTAACCGGTACCGTACGCAAAACAACTACCGACTTGGCACCAAGTCTAGGGAGTTGCACGAAAACACCTAAATGTTTTGTTCGAATTGAAAGAGTCGTGTAACATTTTTGAAGCAAACAAGCAAGCAGGAAACATATCTCTTTTTAGCAGTCGTTTAACGTCATTTGCAGCCTTCGATGGACCTTGATATTCGGTAAACAAAAAAGTTCGATCTCAATACAACACAAACCTTGTGATAGAATATATCCGCATGCTTGTTTGTCATACCTAAGATATGGGTGATCGTAGGACGACTTACCAGCTGGGGTGGGTTGCCTCCTTCCCGGGCAACGCTTCCGTATCTCTTGCATGACTTGCTTCATCCAGTCATCCGGATTATCAGGATCAGGTTCCGGTGGGGGACCGGAGTAACACACCCTCTGCTGGCTCTCCACACCAACCAACAGCACTTTGGAATTAATTACATTAAAACATAGATGCAAGCCAACAATGCCATGATGGTCACTCTATAAAACAATGTGGCTAATAAAATATCAAATTGGTATTTTTACAACTATACGACAATCAGAAGGAAACAATGTATGTTTCAAGTGTAAGACTACTGCATTAGAGGCCATTCAAAACGTTTGATGTTTTTAAAGTTCGAGATTCACTTCTTTTTTTTTCAATTAAAAAAATAAAACATAATTCTTTTGACTTGCCAATTCAACTTTGTGCATGTGTTCCAATTCGTAAACCCTTTCCCCATACCGCACGGGTACAGTATGCATTCGGTACATGTACAACATACCGTGTATTGTGTAAAAGTCCATCGGAGCATCATATGCATGAAGACCAGTAAAGCTAGACTAATAGCCTAAATCCGCCTCATAGGTCCGACACTTCATAAGTCCGACGCCTCATAAGTCCGGAATTTCGGACTTCAATGAGGCGTCGGACCTATGAGGCGTCGGACTTGTGAGTGGACCCCCGATATCCGGCCTTACAGTACGCTTTAAAGGGCCACAACATTAGAAACACACTCTTGGAAAAAAATTGTCTAGTTAACTCATTCTTTATGATGGGACTTGCGGTTTTGCCGAAGTCAGTTGAGCGTGATCGGCTGACTAATAAGGTTTGCGCACAAAACCCCGAGCCAATGAGGTTTCGTATAGAAAGCTGGCCGAATCACTTTTTGCGAGAGTGTGCCGGTAATTGCTGAGCCTGCACACTGCCAAATTTACCAATGGCATCCGTATATTTTCTCGTGCTAATAGGACCCATTTTTGGACCCTAATTTTATCAAATCTGCTCTTAGATAATAGCCCAATAGCTAGGGAGATGATCCTGGGAAGTTGGGGTCAGCGAAAGTCAGCGTGAAATTTGCGCGAAATGTGCGTGCGTGCGCATGTGCGGTTAGTTGCTGTACAGATCTTGGTTGTGAAGGTTGTTCTGAAAGGCCAGCTCCGTATGTACACAACCCAGGCTCCACGTTGCGATTGCCAGTATAGTGCAGATAAAGGTAAATCACAAGTAATACTGATATCGTGTGTTCATTGTTTGGATGTTTTGGAGGAAAGAATTAGAAGTTAAGAAACCGGAATATTGGTGTAATTTGTGTCTTATTCTGTCTGTCTACTGAATAAAATTGTCGGATTGATCCACCGACATGTCAGACACCAACGCAATGCACCCTTCTACTCGTCCATCCATGCCCCCTCCACCCGTTTCCCTCCCGACACCATGGTTCCATACAATTCCCCCATTTTCCCTGCCCCGCAAGGCGACATGTCAAGTTTTGTAGTTGACATCCCGCATGAAGTTCCCCGTGTAGCTTTTGACCCGGAGTACTCATTCCTGTCGCTACCGGGGATCCTCCCACCAGCGACCGGCTCGTTGCAGTGGACAACCGCAGGGTATCCGGCCGAGGCCTCCACGCCCACACCGTCACCCCACAGCAGAGCACTGGAGCAACCACTCTTTCACGGCGCCGCATCATACGACGGAGCCACCGATGCACTGATTGGTCCACCGATCGTTTCCTCGGCACTCGTCTGTACAAGCCAGGTACATGGAGTCAACGGGGACGCGACAACCCAGCACAGCAATGGCTCCGCAGTGCAACCGTGGCACGACGGACAAGGGCGACTGCACTTCGCTGGCGGTTCAATGATAATACCGACGGCTAGCGCACCGGATAGCGCTGCGACGGTTGTGGGGGCACCGACGGGTTCATCGGTTGCACCGACAGGTTTATCGTTAGTCAATCCACAATTCATAGGTGAGCACCACGAGCACGGAGCAAGGGGCGTCGGTTCGGCGCAGCAACCTATGGGAGTCGGTCAGCGACGATGGAACGGTACCCCAGGGTATGATTATGTTCGTGCCGCTGGCGGTTCAGGGGTCATACCGACGGCCAATGCGTCAGGTGGCGATGCGTCGGTTTCTGGAATAACGACGGGTTCATCGGTTACACCGACCGGTTCATCGGTTGGCAATCAACAGTTCATCGGTGCACACAACGAGCACGGAGCCACAGGCGTTGGTTCGGCGCAGCAACACATCGGAGTTGGTCAGCGACCATGGAACGGTACAAGAGGGTATGATAATGTTCGTGCCGCTGGCGGTTCAGGGGTCATACCGACGGCCAAAGCGCCAGGTGGCGATGCGTCGGTATCGGCGAGTTCATCGGTTGCGCCGCCCGGTTCATCGGTTGTCAATAAACAGTTCGTCGGTGCACACAACGAGCACGGAGCCACAGGCGTCGGGTCGGCGCAGCAACACATTGCAGTAGGTCAGCGACCATGGAATGATACACCAGGAGTCGGTCAGCGAAATGTTCGTGCCGCTGTTGCTTTTCCACAACATTCAAACACAAGCACGTTTGCAGCAGCTGCGACCCGATAGATACAATGGGACGACTTCATGGACTGCATACTATCGACACTTTGAAATGTGTGCCAGTATTAACGGATGGGGGAGATAGAGAAAACGGAGTATCTTGCTGTATCCTTGGCCGGAGCAGCCCAACAGGTGCTGCAGGGTCAGATGGGACACCATTAACATTCAGCGGTCTGGCGAATGCTTTGAAAGCAAGGTTTGAACCAGATGGACGGAAGGAACTATATAGGGTGCAACTTAAGAACGGGCGCCAGAAAAATGGAGAGACTCTGTCGGAGCTCGCACAGGATATTCGGTTTATCGTTGAGAAGACTTTCGGCGAGCTTCCAGCCGCCGGGGTGGCAACAATGGCCAGAGATTATTTTCTTGATGCTTTGGCAGATGGAGACACGCGGACACGGACGCTTCAAATGCGTCCCTGTAATTTAGAAGAAGCACTCACAGCTGCGATCGAACTTGAAGCGATAAATGGTGCTGAGCAGGAGAACAACACCAAGAGACTACGCTCCGTAGGTGAAGGGAAGAAACAGGTGGTTGTCAATGAGGTCAGCAAATGTGAACCCCACGACAGTACCGTATCCAAGCTTGAGCAGCGTATGGAACAGATAGGCAAACACCAAGCACGAAAGGCCACCACAGAAAGTGTTTCATAGCGGAACCATAGCCCCGGTTGGGGCGGGCCTCCATGTAGCTGGGCACATCAACGGAACTCCAGTAGAAATGCTTCTCGATACGGGTGCGACTATCTCCATCGTTTCCAAAAGAGTGGTAGATCACTTTGATAACAAGCCAATAATCAAGAGTTCTAGCGTGCAAGTTTTCCAAGCAAACGAGACATTGCTAAGTGTTTATGGGGAGGCAACAGTCGAGCTTCAGCTAGGTGGTAAAAAAGTGCACCACGAAATGGTGATAGCTGATATTCATAATGACATTCTTCTTGGATTGGACTTCCTGGACAAGCACAACTGCGTCATCGACGTTGGAAGAAGACACCTCGTGTATGGAAATTTGGAAGTTCCTCTGAGAAACATCAACGTAAGACAACAGAGCTGCCGAGTGACGGTGAAAGATACAGTAGCTATTCCACCATTTTCTGAGATTGTTGTCGAAGGTGACATAGAGCGACAGAACTGTGCAAATGGCATTGGGATTGTTGAACCGATCCAAAGCTTACTGGAGAAGCACAGCATACTTCTCGCCCCAGCAGTGACTCGGTATGATACGTCTTGGGTTCCGCTTCGCATCTTAAACCCCAGTGAGGACACCGTTATCTTGCGAAAGGGAACAGCAGCGGGTTTGTTCCAGACCGTAGACGTTATTGGCCGCCCCAATTTCCAGCACAGAAGTGAGAACTTCGTCCCAATTAAGCGAGGAACAGAGGGGCCGCATACACAGGCTTATTTGCGAACACCGAGATGTGTTTTCTCAACATAAAGGAGACATTGGCCTTACTTCTTTAACTGAACACTCTATAGACACCCGAAGTGCGAATCCCATAAGACAAGGGGCTCGTTGCATACCCCTCCTTCAGAAAGAGACGGTAGAGAAAGAAATCAAGAAGATGATGGACGGCAGCATCATAGAACCGGACTTTGGGCAGCGCCTATTGTGCTCGTGAAAAAAAAAGATGGTTCAGTTCGATTCTGCGTTGATTATCGTAGGCTCAACGCAATCACTAGAAAGGACGCTTTCCCAATACCCCGAATAGACGACTCATTCAAAACACTTGCAGGATCCAGATATTTTACAACATTGGACCTAGCCTCGGGGTATTGGCAAGTACCAATGAGCGCGGCAGACAAGGAAAAGACAGCTTTCTCAAGCCATTGCGGGCTGTACCAGTTTAGGGTCATGCCGTTTGGGCTTTGCAATGCCCCGTCGACCTTTGAACGTCTAATGGAGAGAGTCCTCCATGGGCTACAGTGGCAGATATGTCTTGTGTACCTAGATGACGTCATTATATTCTCCAAGACATTTGAGTCGCACATTGACAGACTGGGAGTGGTGCTAGATCGCATACGGCAGGCCGGACTAAAGCTCAAGCCGGATAAATGTCATCTGCTTCAGGAAGAGGTTTCCTACTTGGGGCATATTGTCTCAAAAGGGGGAGTCAAGACAGATCCAAGCAAGACGCGGCAAATCGAGGAATGGCCAGTACCAAGAAACATACAGGAGGTGAGAAGTCCCTTGGGCCTGGCATCATACTACAGGAGGTTTGTAGCTTCCTTTGCAGTAATCGCCAGACCACTTCACAAGCTTACAGAAAAAGACAAGGACTTCAGCTGGATGCATGACTGCCAATTGGCTTTCGAACAACTGAAACAGCGGCTCACTTCTGCTCCGGTTTTGGCATACCCGAAACTTGACGCAGAATTCATTCTGGACACCGACGCCAGCAATAGCGGAATAGGTGCTGTTCTTAGCCAACTGCAAGATGGTCAGGAGCGCGTAATTGCTAGCGCCAGTTGTGCCTTGTCAAAGCCAGAGCAAAATTAATGTGTAACGAGAAAGGAGTTGCTTGCTGTCGTACACTTCATCAAACACTTTCGACCTTACTTATATGGGTGCCGCTTTCTTCTTAGAACAGATCATGGATCTCTCCGATGGCTCTTCACTTTCAAAGAAACAGAGGGGCAGGTTGCAAGATGGCTGCAAGTGCTGGCAGAATATGACTTCAATATTGAACATCGACCGGGACGCAAGCACAGCAATGCCGATGCCGTGTCACGAAAGCTGTGCACTTGTACACGGTGTCAGAGCGACCAAGTTGAGCAAGGATACGACAGCAGGGAACAACCATCGCGTGAGGGACGGACACCAAGTTAAGGGAGACCAGCACCATAGCACAAAGGAGAAATGCCAACGAATAGAAATGTTGTGGAAAATTCAAGAGCAAGATCCAGACCTGCCAACTGAACCAGTCCATTCACTACCTGCGCAGCATCATACACACAGTTCAGACAGCAGTCAGTTCATTCGTGAGGTGTCGTCTTTCTGTTGGCTGAAAGGTTTCACTGCTTCGGAGTTGAGAGAAAAACAAACAGGTGACCCGACTCTGCAGAAGATCATAGGCTGGCTGGAAAGTGGAAATCCACGACCAACTTGAAAAGATGTGTCTGCTGAGGGTACGTGGCTCAAAACTTTATGGGGGGCATGGCAGCAGCTTTGTTTGCACGACGGCGTGTTATACAGGCGTTGGAACGAGGATGATCGGCACCACTCTCGGTGGCTTTTAGTAGTCCCCAGGCCCCTCCATGGGGACGTTTTCAAGCAACTTCATGACCTTACAGCTGGCCACCTCGGCATTAACAAAATGCATGCAAAGGTGAAGTCCAGATTCTTAGTAGAGGACTTGAGAGACTCAGTGGTGACGTGGTGTACCCAATGCCTCCAATGTGCCAAACGCAAACCTCCTCCCAACTGGGGCAGAGCACCAATTAGACAACAGGTCTCCGGGGTTCCGATGGAAAGGGTCGCCATTGATATTACAGGACCATTTCCGATTACAGAAACAAGAAAAAACGATATAACCTTGTCATCACGGACTACTTCTCTAAGTGGACGGAAGCCTTTCCCGTACAGGATGTTACAGCCCAGACGGTTGCCAATGTCTTTGTCAAAGAGTTTGTTTCTCGACTCGGTGTACCGCAACAGCTGCATAGCGACCAGGGTCCAGGGTCGCCAATTCAAAAGCAAGCTGTTCAAAAGATGTGTGTAATCCTTGGAATAGATAAGACCAGGACGAGTCCCCACCATCCCTAAAGCGACGACCAAGTTGAACGATTCAATCGCACGCTTAAAGACATGCTGCGCGCCTATGTTGCTGAAAATCAGTTGGACTGGGACCTTCATTTACCACTAGTGATGATGGCATATCGGGCATCAGAGCATAGCAGCACTGGACAAACACCCAACTATCTCACTTTTGGTAGGGAAGTAGAACTCCCGGTAGACCTGGTTTTAAGATCCCCAGAAGAACCCCAAAAAATCACCGAATATGCCATACACCTGAGAGAAAGAATGCACGAGGCCCATGAGAAGGCACGAGTACACCTTCATAAGGCCGCAAAGCACCAAAGGCGGAATTACAAAGTAGCAGGCAAGCCGAAGTGTCTGGAACCAGGTACTGCTGTGATGTTAACAGTTGAGCAAAGAACTGTTGGGCTGTCTCCCAAGCTCCAGCCAAGATGGGTAGGCCCATACCTTGTAACTGAAGTGCTAAATGATGTCAACGTCAGAATCCAACGAGGACACGTCATAAGCCCAAAGTTGTCCATATTAATCGTCTGAAGCGCTTTGTGGGTGAAGTGGACAAGTCATGGTGGAGGCCAAAGAGCCATGCATTACAGCAACTTCCTGGGTCCGAAGAGCTCGAAGAGGAGGGGGAAGAGGAAGCCCCTCGAGTTGTTCTGCAGCCGGATATTTCTGGTGGAGGCAAGGAGAGCAAAGAGGCTACCACAGAAGGGTTCTCACAGGAATCAGCAGAAGACCACAACATGCAGGAACATATTGAAGTCGTCAATGGAGAGATTGGGGTTCCACCAGTTGCTGAACCTAAGAAAGCTTCAGACACAGACGGTCATCAGGACGGGCACAACAGAAAACGTCGACCTCCTCAGCGTTATGGCGAATGGACCGAATAACATTTTTAACTACGGAGCAAATACGAACTAACCTAATCCCCTGTTCTCTGTTGTATTCTCTGCAGATGCCGAGAAGAAGTCACAGCCGTCATCACCGGGATTCTCCTCGCCGATCGCCCACACCTGACCGAACCCACCAACGACATGATGAACGAGCGGAAAGCTGCAGGTGCCTCGAATGCGATAAGTCATTTGGGGCCACGTCAGCATTGGCAAGGCACATGGCCGAACAACACCAACCACGTGATCGGTTCCCCTGTCCGTTTTGCGACATAATCTACGGCCGGAAGAACGACTTGGCGAGGCACATCCGACGGGTTCACACAGGCAATCTTGATGCAGGCAACAAGTCGCCGGTATCAGTCAGCAACTCCTCCAAAGCTCTCAAGACGCCCGAGATCTCCAAGACGCCCGAATAGAAGTCCGGACCGTGCCTGGAATTACACTTGTCTCCAGATGACGTGAGGCGTTTGGTTTCGCCACAAGGTGCAACATCCTTAAGGAAAGTTATCATACCCCCAAGTTTTGCAACGGTTTCGGGCCAATCAGATTAGGCAACAGGAAAGCTCGTCAAGCGGAGGCGCGTTTTCGACCTCTACGATGAGGATTCCTTGATCGCGAGGATTACTTCGGAGGAATTCTTTCAGGAGTAGGACATGGTGGTCAACTTATAGTTTTAATTGTTCTTGATTTTTAGAACCTTAACTTGTTAATGGCGTTTTTCTAGTTAAATTTGTTGTTTGTGAATGAGGGACGCATTCTTTCCCCGGGGAGTGGATGATGTAGAGTTTGCAGAATCCAGTATAGGCGGCGCTGTTTACTTTTAGTGGAGGTTAGGGTCAGCGCAAGTCAGCTTGAAATTGGCGCGAAAAGTCATTGTTTGGATGTTTGGAGGAAAGAATTAGAAGTTAAGAAACCGGAATATTGGTGTCATTTGTGTCTTATTCTGTCTGTCCACTGAATAAAATTGAACCACCGAAAACGCTACAGTATGGAAATAAGGATGGGGCACAACGTACCTTCCCCTCGTCCTCAAAGGACATGACTGGGTCAATGTTGGTAGGGATAATCATACTGGTAGTAAATGTAGCAGCCCGGCCCCCAAAACAATCTGGGATTCTCCTTTACACCCGCATAATTATTACCACATCAAAATCAAGTTTTGTTTAATCGGCTGTCATGGTGATCATACAAAAACTCAAAGTATTTTTTTCAACCCAACACACATTTACTTCAAAGATAGGATCATCAGATTCAACAGTGATCGACAACTGCAAACGTGAGGTTTTGAAATGTTCTAGCTAAGCTGGACTGCTATTGTCAGCAAACCAGCCATGGTTTTGAGGACATACTCTCCAAATTCCAAAGAGTGAAAATTCACTCCATTCGAGTGAAGATTAACTTCCACAGTCGAAAACTAGGGACGTTTTAGAGTGATTTTCACTCTAAAACGTCTAGTCCCTAATTTCACTCTTTGGAATTTATAGAGAGTACCTCAGGGGATAGATATTACATCTTACCTGCCATTGCTGACAACATCAGAACCAAAGCTGCTGCTCCATCCATGTTCCTAGATGAGGTGAATTCAGAGCACGAATGCGATAGATGTATATATCAACGACTCAAGCACCTACGCGAATTAAAAGGCTACGCATTAAACCACTGAACAAAAATCGGGTAACAGCCTCAACTCGAAAACTTGCCCAAAACTTTGTCTGATAAGTGCAAATATTGGCAATCCGTTGTGTTGTTTGTATTCTTCAGCGACACACACACACCAACGCGACCTACTAGAAGTAAGCTACGCAGGTAGAGTACTGCACGACGATGGGCAATGTGCCTAAGACCGTGTCTGACGCTATGATCGACGCTATGATCGAGAGTCTGTTATATTGATAGAATCACCGATAGGAACAACCACGGCACAGCTCACCCCAGCAGCTGCGCAGCCGTATACCACGGAACAAAATTACGTTATGGCAAACCTAGCCAATCAGGAACTAGGCTGGAACGTTAAAATTATGATACAAAAATGTACAAATATTGTAATAACGAAGTTTTGTCATTGAATTAACGTGATCATGATGAGGACGTTAGATTGCCTTGAAAATCGCATAATGCCCTGAAGCCAACAAACTTGCTCAATTAACGAACCTTTATAATTAACCACTAATGAAGGTTTGGAAAATGTGAAGCGAGAGCGCAGATATTGCAATTTTATAAGAAGTTTTGTCCTTGATATTAACGTGATCATAGGATTTTGAAGGGGACGCTAGAATGCCTTGAAAAGGCGACATATTAAAACATAATGCCTTGTAGCCAACAAGCGTGCTTCCATTAACGAACCTCCGTAATGAAACGCTAATTAACTTTGGGAAAATGTGAAGCGAGAGCGCGGCTATTGTTTGAAAGAAAATTTGTCCTTTGAATGAAATTTTATCTGGTGAGTCTTTCGATATAGCCATTTTAAATTGGTTGGAATGGAAAAATAGAACTGGCCAGTATGATAATAGAAACGTTATGGTCCAATGCATGCTGGAAACTAACCAAATCCGTCGGAAATTTGCTTGCTCATAATTGAGGTTTAAACAGTAATGTGGCTGTTTTTCTAATAGTTTTGATAACAAAAAAGTAGAAAATGTAACAAGTTATAATGGGCTATGATTAACTGTAGACTGAAATTCATTTTATGCCGTTTATATTATTACCTGTGATTTAATTTCACTTTTATTTTAAATATAGAAGGGCAGCATACATTCCCACTTTGCAATATAATTAAAAGATTTTTGTTGGAACAAAAAGCGGTAAATATGTTTCAGGAAGTCCAAGATCGGTGCATGCCAAAGGTTGGGGGGGCGTGGTGGGTGGATGGGTGTTTCCCCTCGACATGGTTGGTTTCCCAGAATAGGCGGGATAATGTACTGCCATCTTAAATGGAATAGACCCTCGGTACCAGAATTTGCTAGTCGTTGTTGCTAATTAACTAATTGCACATGGAGGTTACAACTGGCTGCCTGCTGTCACTTATTAATCAGTCTGCCGGCATAATGTCTAGACTAACTAATACCTATTTAATAATATTATGCATTCGTTGGGTGTATAGATACTTCTACCCAGTTTTGTGCTTTGTGCATTTTTTTTTCAAATATAAAAAAAACACCAAATAATTATAAAATACCTTACTTGCTTGTAAATGAATAATAGCATCAGCAGCGGAAGCATCAGCAGTAATGCCGGCGAATGGGGGGTGATGGGGGATGACCAAAATCCAAAAATTGCCTGGCCGTGGCAATGCGAAAAGCGGTGGGGGGGGGGGGGCTGGACACCGCATTACACTAGGGGCTCTTCAAGATGTAGATGTATTATCAATATGTATACTCTTTCCTACATCAAAACGGCGCATTTTAAAAGCTTTTAATAGTGGTATTAATAAATGCCTTTGCAAAAAATAAAGAAAAGAGCCTGCTTGGTAACGGGGGTATTTGTACACTATCGTGTAAAATAGTATTAATTATCGTAGCATTTGAACAGCGACCCCATTCAAAGTATGGAACGAGCCCCCCCCCCCCCCCTCCCCCTTTATTTGACGGAGCCAAGTGTCGGGACAAAAAAAACCTGTCTACCTTTCAGCATTTATTTGCTTATCGGCACCCCTCCCCCCTGCAAAAATTCCTGGATCCGCCCCTGGGCTGCATCCCCGCATCACATCGCATTCTGGCGGAATGCCAAAATAAAATTCCAACATGTTTCTCGGGGTGCATAGGGTTAAAAAATATTCTGTCAACAAGTATAGTGTGGCGGGACTGTTCCCAAACCAAGTTATTCCTCGGACCAGGGACTACACGAAGCAGTCTAAAGGCTAAAGGATGCAGGCTCGTTTTGGGTGGAAATCTACCGCCGCAGGAATTGATCCCTAAACCTTCTGTTAATTAGGCAATAACACAATAACAAGGACAACTGGCAACTGAATGGTCTGTAATCTCAAGTAACAACGATGATTTATTTCAGAGACAACAATTAAATGATTAATTGATTTGGGAGTAATTGTCTTGCGTAGCTTTATTACAACCGGTGATTTTTGGAATATGAGCCCTATTTGCGGAGCTTATCGTAGCAATGCTTGCTCTCGCAAAGCCAACCGCCACAGCCATCAGAACGAGATGCCACAATCTGCCCTGGTTAGGGTCCCAGACCAACATGAAAACTAGTACCAGCAGGTAAGTAGCGCCCCCAACGATGAAGAGTGCAAACCTGCTGACGCACTTCATCAGCCGACCAATCAGGAAGGATGAGATGCAGCTGGAGACGGAACTGCCCATCATGACGTAGCCGACAACCTCGTGTGCAACCAACGAAAAACTATGTGACCAAAGTTAGTGGATACGAGCAGATAATTTCAGACCACTGCAATAACGGAATCAATACACTATTTGATTTACAAAATGCCTATCTACAGGGTCTATATACATGCTGAGGTTCAAGTCACCATACGTCTAACTTAACTTTTGCAGTGGTTAGTTTTAATTTGGTTGGCAAATTGCACAACATGTAAAACCGATAAATCCAAGCCTGTTTCGGTGAATCTTTCGGTTGTGCGCAGGCGTGATCATTTGGCATGTTAGTCTGGTTCCCAGACCAAACGATTCTGACTATTTCTGATGAATCTTAGGTCAGGTAGCCTCCGGTAATACATTGTACATGTATTACAATTTACGTCACGTGACTAAAACGGGAGGAATTCCTCCTTTTTACGAAAATGTCCGAAGTTTGCCGAATTTTGTCGACAATCGGATAGCGCCCGAGTATTTCCGAGTATAATATTGTTTTAGTTAACTGTTTATTGCTTATTAAAAACTTTTTTTAATGAGTTGATAATTAATATTCATTGCTTTTATTTAGAAAACTTGAAATTCAACGACAATTTTGTGCATCGATCGGATCGTATGCGCGAACTTTTTGCTTCGTCATGTACTATTTTAAATTTGACGACCGTTACTGAGATTTTCCAAAACTCGGTCTTCATTCGGTTCCGCCTGCTAACAGTGCTATTTGGGTGCCTAATTTTCAAGATCCCAGGTCAACATTAGTCAATATTTTCTTACAGAAAAATCAAACTATATTATCATAACTGTATGATATATGAAGCAAGTGATTTATTTTAAAAATTTGATAGGAACGTTAAAAGCTTTAAGTGATAAAGCAAATTCGGAAACGAAGCCGAGCTTTGAAAAAAAGGCCGTCAATGTCGTCATGCCGGTTTATTTTTAGCCACGGAGGCTGCCTGACCTACAATTTAGACGTGTGGACGTCGGGGGAAATTGTCAGGTCGGGGAACCAGTCTATCGGCATGTCTGCTACCACCAAGAGTTCAAACCCACCTTTGTAAAATGGCCGCCCATTAACATCACATCCACTCCCAAGTACAACAGCGTTGGTATGAGCATTGCAATGCTCGGGTTAGTCATCAGGCGGAAGGTGGCGGCAAGCTTTGACTTGAGTAGGATTGAAGCTGAGTGATTTTACGTTTTTATTTCGGTCCTCAAAGTTTTCACGGAACATGGGCGCCGCCATCTTGGATTGAGTGCGCCCTCGCATGTTACTTATTTATTTATTTATTTTAAAATGAGGTCTCGGTCTCGGTCTCGGTCTCGGACTATGAGGTTTCGGTCTCGGTCTCGGTCTCGAATGGGGAATTAGTCTCGGTCTTGGTCTCGGTCTCAGACTATGAGGTCTCGGTCTTGGTCTCGGTCTAGGACTCTGAGGTCTTGACTCCAACACTGTCGAGAGGGCCGTAATATTAAAGATATTACAATAAAGATACATGTATTGTGCCTACAAAGTTCAAGGCAGTGTTGATAGGATACGCCCTACGAGTCAGAAGGGATTGAAATATGAAAAATTAAATCAAACCTCTTCGTGACGTGACAATGGAAGGGAAGCCTAAAGAGTCATTTGCCCATAGAATACACGCATAAATACATCCTAGCCGGTACAGATACAACTTAACGGAGCGTCGCGATCCGATGTGTACACTTGGCTCGGTGATTATGATACTGAAACTGCGATCTTTAAGCTCCTTGTCTCAGGGCCTTATTGCCTTAATTATATACAAACAGCTAGTAAACAGAGCAAAACAACAAAAGTATTGTATAGGATGGGACGTTGGGTTCTATAGCAATGGGTCAGTGTTGCTAGGCGCTCTCTGGTCGTAAAATAAAGTTGGTACAGACGATAACGGTACCTTGATTACGAGACTTTGCTAAATACGCGGATAGAAGTACAAAGTGGGATTTTCTTCTCTCCATTTCTGATGTATTTAATCATTACAATCAAATATGGACAGGCAGCAAGTCGTTTTGTACACGTCATTTTTAATACGCAAAGCACATCAACTGATCAACTAAAAAATTAAACGAGTGAATGTTTCTATGGTTTTTTTTTTATTTCACAAGCATGTTCATATTCACAAAGCGTATACAATCATTTGAATTATAATTGAACAATATTGGTAAGTATGTGCTTCAATGAGATAAATATTGCTTCCTCTTAGCTTCTTGTTATGGCAGCTCGGCATCAAATGAACATAACACTTTATGTGTTAATAC